TTTATGTTGTATATATTCGGTATTCCTATCAATGAAATCTTTGACCTTTTCAAAAGAGTTTACATGTTCTAGGGTTTCCACATTTATCCATTCTCCATCTCCAGAAACCCTAGAGCACACAAACCTTAGCCTCCTTTCATCCTTCTTATGATTTTAGTGCCTTTAGAGTGTTACTTGAAGAACAAGATTGTTATTTTAGTATAAGGAAGCAAGATCTAGTGGAGTCTCAATCTTTTACTCATATTCTTAGCTATGTAAGTCATCAAGTTCCAACCTTTATGGTTTTTGATTGCTAGATCTATGATTTTGAGCATTTTAGGTCCCTTTTATGCCGATTCATTGAGTTTAGGAAAACTCTAAGTCCAAAGTTTATTTAAAATGGCTTTCTAAACCCATTCTGGTGAAAGGAAATGAATGTTAACCTCTTATTTGAACCATGTAGGAAGATTTTTCTAGCATTTTGGACTCATTTTGGATCTAGGGTTAGAGTTGGTCATGATAGAGGCATGCATGTGCATAAAGTAGGAAACTTTATCCATTAAGATCATCTTTATGAGAGTTTTAGAAAGTATCATGTGACATCCCCAAATTCACGGTCAGAAAAGACCGGTTTAATTTATGCTTTTAAAATAATTTCAGAGTAATCTTCTGATTAAAAGAGTTGCGGAATTTGTTCCCAAAACGAAATATGATAAAATAAGATTTTCCAAAGCATTTCTTAAAGAAATGTATTTTCATTATATAACAAAACTCGGGATGTCATGTTCCGATACAAACCAAAAGCATAAACGACACATTATAAGCCTTACAACAGTTATATACACTACAGGCTTATAATCAAAATATCTTGATAAGTTGTTCAACTTATGCTCTCGCGCTACTACCTGTAATACAAAGAAAACTGAGTGGGTTAGGCTTGGGAGCCTGGTGAGCATATAGGGTTTTCAACCCACAATAAATAAATTTATTAATTTCATCAAACAACAATAACCCGATTACCCATTCCCGTTATCCTCACTTTACGTCCCTAAAACAACTATCACAAGGGACCTAGTCTAAGGTTTTTATCGGGGCGACAACACTGCATTGGGGGTTTCCCATCAATTTATGTCAAATAAGGCAACCATGTGGGGGATGGAGTACAGCAAATGAACGCGCAAGCTCATTAACACCTACATGTTGCGAGCCTTCCAACGTTCCACTGGATTGTCTAGAAAAGTCTGTGGTCGTCATCCATACTCCGCTAGATGACTGGATCACAATAACATCGAGACCTCTCATCATTTTATTTCATCACACATCAACTATCTATCCATGTTTTACCCAACATATTTGTAGATAAAAATACATATACAATTTAATTTATTTAAAAATCTGTATAAATCATTCATTCATCATCCATCTCAAATAAATAAACAATATATAATCACATAGCACGTATTTTATATAAAATACTTCATATCTATGTGTAAGATGAAAGTGACTATACACTCACTTGATTTAACGATAATCGGGCATCACTTCGTTTCCTAAAACAATTGTTTCTAATAAAACCGGGAGTTTTATTGAGAAACCGGGCTCTGCGAGGATTGGGCTTCAAAACCGAAAAGATAAAATTTTCCGGGGTCTTCGGGCACTTCGGGGCGTGTTTCGGGTGTTGGAAATGATCTCGGGGCTTCGGGGGAAGTCAAAATAGTGAAAATATGAGTTTAGGGGTAAAAAGTGGCAAAAATCCAAACTTACCCAGAAAGTCTCGCAGCCCTCCCTTTTATAGGGTGCGAGCTTCGGATCTGAGGGCTGAGAAGCGAGCACGTGTCAGCAGATGCGAGGGGCTCCAGATGGCTCGCATGCGATGGGGGCAGGTGGCGGGTGCGAGGCCCGGATGACAGGTGGCTCGGTTCGGATGGAGGCACGCGTCCGAGTTTGGAGGCTACAACGCATCGGTGACTAAGCTGCTTCGGACACGAGGCGACACGCGGCCTGCTTCGGTTGGGCCTCCCTTCGGTCGAATCATAATCCGACACGGGGAATGCATGCGAGAATCTGGGTGACGTGGCCGATCCGGATAAGGCTTATCCATGCGAGATTCCTCGGAATTTGTGCCAAAATCTTATAAAATCCATAACTTTCGCATAGGAGCTCCGTTTTTGACGTTCTTTATATGCACGCGTAGGGAAAATTATGCTCTACAACTTTCGTTTAGACTTCGTCAGCTAATTTTGACTTTATTTTTAATATTATTATTTTTAACAGACCGGGACATGAAAATCCGTTAAAAATTCATAACTTCTTCATCCGACGTCCGTTTTCGTCTGTCTTTTTACCGTTGTACTACTATTCACGAGACCTTCGATTCTCGTTTAGATTGTGTCCGCTAAAAATCACTCGATCTACAATTCGAGTTTTTAGCTGTCTACTGCTAAGCTGAAACTTAGAAAAATCATAACTTCCTCATACGAAGTCAGATTTGGGCGTTCTTTTTATACATACTCTCGGTTTAATGAACACTACGACTTTCATTTAGATCACCAAGGCTAAAAAGTAGTTTATCAAAAACTCACTTTTTACGTCATTCGGCGCCGTGCCGGTTTTGTCGCGAAACTTCGACATGTCATAACTTCTTCGTTATAACTCGGATTTCGGTGAGGTTTTCGCCTAAATGTTTCTAACGAGATTCTTTACAACTTTATCCTTAGATATCGGCTTTCTTTAATTTTTATTTTCAACGCTTATTTTTATTCTTAATTCATTAATCATAATAATTAAGCAGATAAGCACATAATATTCACATAATTCCTCTTTATTACTTCAAAATGAGTTACAAAGGTTAACCTAGACTATTACGTAAATATTAATGTCTAGCCTAGAAACACGGGCGTTACATATGAGCTTCTGTCTTCGAAGATTAAGTTCTTAACAAGAAAAATGATTATGCCTAGAAAAGTGCGACGCGACCAAGGAAGGATCGCGACACGAAAAATGAATGATACCGCTACTATTTTTTTTATCTAGTGGTCGCGACGCGACCAAGAGCTTGCGAGTGACGCGACTGACCGTTAATCGTTGACTTTTTGATCAGTTTGTTTTTTGGTCAAACTTTGATGGATTTGAGTATTTAAATGTGGTACGATCTTTGTTTCGTATTAGGTGGTTTGTGTGAGCTATTCGTTTGAGGAAATTGTTTTTGAGATTGTGATTGGTAGATTCAGATGATTTTTCTCACTATACTATGTGAGACATTAAATGTCCTTGTGCGGTATAATGTGTGAGTATTGTTAGTATATACTATATAGATATGTGGGTAAACTAGATTAGTCTTTTCTATGTTATTTGGAGGGTCATATGGGTGGTTGGCTAAGAGCGTTCGGGCCCAGTAAGAGGATGGCTAGGAGTCTCTAGGTCAGTGGGATGATGACCCACTGAGGTGTTGATTGTTAGTCGGCTGGGAGTCTACAAGTTAGGTGGGAAGTTGACAACATGTCTACTGACCCACTGAGGTGTTGACTGTGAGTTTACCGTTGTTATGCATTGTATGTGTGATGAAATGTAAGGTATATTGGCGAACTCATTAAGCTTTGATTTCCCCTCCCAACGCCAACAAACAAGTGTTGTGGAAATTTATTTATGCAAGATCCCACGTCCAAGAACCTTACGAAAAGCATTTAAAAACTTTCTGTTTTTATTGTTTACGTTTTAAAGTTAAATATGTTTCTCGTTGTTCCATTGACAGCGGGAAGGGCGTGGCTTGATTGTATGTGCATCGTGATTGATATGTTTTTGGATTTCCACAAACTTTGAACCATGATTTGATTGTGATTTGGTGTTTGAAACAATTTGATACTTACTATCTTTTTATGAAAATAGTTTTGTGTTGCTTACTTATATTTTAAAAAGAAAAATTTGGTTTGAAATTTGAGACATTGCAAAAATGATGAATTTACCCCTTGTTTGTTTCATGTTTCTTTATTTTCGAATTCTGGGCACCGTTTTTGTTATTGAGTTGAAGATATGAATAAGAACTGTGATTGAATTAGCTCCCCATCGTCACCATAACAACCTCCATCCTTATACTCTCTTCCTTATATGTTCTTCACCTCATCTCAAACGACCCCTTGAGGACAAATTCCTCCACCCTTCACCTTTAACTTTGGTCACCACTCTCCTCTCTCCCCTAATCATCATCTTCGTATCCTACTCTTTTTCATGATTACATCTCGACGATTACCTTCCTATTGTCGTCTTGTTGTTGTAACTTCTGCCAATCTGCGTCCACTATCCTTTGCTCTGGTGAGCACCGTCTCCTCTTCATTTACAGACTCATCCACTCATCACGTTTCTTTTCCATCAACACTTACAATTTAGATCAACGTCGAAGATGAATAAGGTGTTGATGGAAGGGTTGGGTTATTCTTAACTGTGATAATTTTGGTGGCTTGCCGATGACAAATATGATGTGAGGAGCGGTTGGCTTTTTATTATTTGTGACGGTGGTTCAACGACAAGTTCAAAGGCTGGAGTTGTAACATGGGGCCTCTTATTTAATAACTCAATTAAACATATATATGGAAAAGGCCAAATCAATAAATGACAAAACAAGTGTAATTTGATACTTCTCTTTCAAAAAGAGAAAGAAAAAAAAAAGAAAAAAAAAAGTGTAATTTTGACATTTAACGATACAAGACCGGAGGTAACGGGCTTAAGGACCAAATCTGATGGATTTGGAAACTATAAGGACTATTGATATCAAATTTTCAAAAGTAATAGCAAACCTGCTAAAAGAAGCATACCGTACGGACCAAAACCGTAATTTATAAGGACTAAAAGTAATAATACCCCTCTCTCTCTCTCTCTCTCTCTCTCTCTCTCTCTCTCTCTCTCTCTCTCTCTCTCTCTCTCTCTCTCTCTCTCTCTCTCTCTCTCTCTCTCTCTCTCTCTCTCTCGTGTGTATGTGGTAATAAAAAAGTGAAAGGGTGGGCGTAGCATTTCGTCATCTTGGCTGTGTTTATATTTTAGTGAAAGAGCGAGAGCGATGATACTGTCGGAGTCTGCTTTTTCATGGAGGATCCGCCTTTTTCGGTCCCCATAATCCTACTACACTACCACTTCCCCATGTCATTTTCCTAATCCATCTCCATCATCAAATATTTCCACTCTAAATTTCAACACCATGAGAAAACATTGGCTGCTCTGCAAGGTTCCTGACGGTGATTATAATGCTACTACCAAACACTCTTCAAGTTCTACCACCAACACAAAGTCCGCCGGAAAATCAAGAAAAAGAGGTGGAGTCAGACCCACGTCTTCTTCTTCCTCATCCTCATCGGGTGGTTGCATGAGTGCCATTTTTCATCTCTTTGATATTCAACACCATCATTTTCCCTTTCGCCAACCTTCCTTGATCATCTCCGATTCTTCCATAAATATCCCTCAAGAACCCAACTTTATCCTCAAAGGTAATTACCCTCTTTCTCTTTTTCTCTCTCGTTTGATCGCATTTTGTGCAGAATTGTAACAGTGTAAATTATAGGCGTGGAAGCACCCAGGAACAGCTTGGAGTTAGAGGAACAAGAACCCAATGTCCAAGAAGCTGCTTCTTCTTCATCATCATTGTCAAAAGTTAAGCAAGATACAGACTTTATCATTCCTGTAAGTTTTTTTTAAAATTTTTAAATTTTTTATTTTTATTCAATAAACGATAAGATTGTATAAAGCAAGTCATGATGGTGGTAATTATTGTTTATCGTTTATGGCGATAGGGTCGTTGGACTCATAATTAATTCAAAACTAATAATTTTACAGGTTGGTGGAATTCAAATTAAAACAAAAAGATCAAGATTAATGGATGAAGTATCATCAGAATGCAGCAGCTCTCCTGGTTCAAAAACACCAAGTCTTGTTGCAAGATTAATGGGTCTTGATCTTCTTCCAGAAAACTCATCTCCAAGAACTTCTTTATCATCTCCAAGACCTTCATCTTCTTCCTCTCATGCCACCCCATCAAACCCTCTTTCAAAATTATCATCACATAACATTAGTACGCACTCCTTGCCGGCGACACCACGGATATCGACCGCCGCCAGGCCGTCGACGGAAGTGGACTATCACCACCGCCTTTCCCTCCAAACCACTAAAGAAAACAGGCGGAAATATGGTGAGTCGACTACAAGCGAGTATGCGAAGCAGATTGCGCAACAAGTTAGGGAAAATATCAGCAGGAGAGTTGGTGCCGATATTACCAACACCATGAAAAGGAAAGAACATAGAAGAGATGAGTGTCTTGTGGTACTCAAACCGAAGAGACAATCACTACCACCATCCGCCATTAATTATTTCGATGATCAAGGTACGAATTGAATTATACTAGTATATGAGTATATGACAACAAGTTTTTTATTAGGAAACGTATTATATATGAAACAGTTTAAATAAAATTCTTTTCAGGACATGTACGAGCAAAAGAAAATGAACCAGTTCCACTATCTTGCTCATCGAGGCTCAAATTACTGGAGATCAAGAGCAATTTCAATAAACCCATCTCAAATTCAGCAAAAACTTCGCCATTATCATCATCTACAGAAGTTATGAAAAGTCCATCGTCATTATCATCAAGCAGATCACCACAATTGATCAAGGAGGAAGTACAAGTGGTGAAGCAGGAGAATCCAGTGATGAAAGTGCAAAAATGCAAGAGAATCGCAAGTGAAAAATATGATTTGAGATTGAAAAAAGTGCATCAACAAGAAGAACCATTGACGAAGAAATGCAACAAGAAGTCAACTCCATTATCAAATCATCTTGTGAATGTCAACACAACAACAAAATTTATTTCTTTCAAGAAAGACATAGACATGGCGTCTCCTTCCTCAACAACATTATCTCAAAAACAAGTACATTGCCTTACCTAGTACCAACAGTGTTTTATATATTTTTTACCTTTTTTATTTTCTTTTGTTTTCGCCATTTTCGAATACTTAATATTTTATATTTTGATTTTCAAATTTTTTACGAGATATATTATTGATATTTACAGGTGCCATTAGAGAGCATCACACAGTTACCTAGTTGTCAGAGCCGGTCATACAAAGAGACCCACAAGCTCTGGTTCCAAGATAACGTCAGTAGTAATGGTAACGGTGTGGCCGCCATTACCACCACCACAACCGGTGGTCGTTTGGTTTCCGACTATCTTGAGTACATTTCAAGAATCCTCAGTCACGCCGGAATTGAAAAAACCACCCCAATCTCCGTCACCCATTGGTATTCCCCATCCCACCCTCTCCACCCTTCAATTTTCCATCAGTTGGAAAAACTCATTAACCCCACAGTCACCACCAACTTCATCACTCGGAAACTCATATTCGACGTAGCAGACGAGCTTCTTGTGGAAATCTTGAAGCCTTACATAAGTTTTAAACCATGGGCGGCGGGACGGAATTCATATAAAATGTACGGGTCGGAACTGATCGGAAAGTTATGCGAAAAAGTTAGTTCTTTTCCCGCGGCAGATTGCCGGGTGTTGGAAGATATTGACGCTGTGATTGAGGGTGACATGAGGAGCTGCACTAAGGTGATCGGAGAGATAGCATTTGTGGAGGAGGCGGAGGAGCTGGTGGCGGAGATGGAACGTGACATGGTTGACACGCTGGTGAATGAGATGGCAGGGATAATATGGCACGTTGGTTGCGGAGGCAGGATCTGACTGAGGTCACATGGTTGATTCACGTGATCAGATGCCATTCGTTAAGGGGTGCACGTGAGGGGTCCAAAGTAAAAAAGAACGGAACTCAAAGTGTTTTAAGATATGGCTCAAAAAGAAGGGACACATCCCCCAGCTTTACAAGGCCATCTAAAGAGTCACAATTAAGCTTCATGTTTCTTTCCCTTTGTAAACATTACATTTTAGATTAGTTAAGTTGTGTGCCACTTTCTTGTTGCTTCTAAAACTTGTTAATTCTCCATGTGTGCTTCCATCAATTAAAACAAGAATGTAAACAATGTCGAGTTATGTGAATATATGAAACATTAATCGGTTGTAAGTTCAGCGTATAAAACAATGTAAATTATGTAAATATTATCATTTCCTTCTCATACATTCTGTACGAGTGATTTGTCCCAAGGGATAATGACTTGATAGGGTAAGATATTTTTTTAAATGTACATATTTAGTCCTTATTCTTTTTTTTTGTAAAATAAACTCTTATACTTTATTAATATGTACACATTAGGTCCTTTTCACCGGATTCTATAGGTTTTGCTGACGTGGAAGAGTTTATTTTACAAAAAAAAAAGAATAAGGACTAAATGTGTACATTTCAAAAAGTATCTTACCCTATCAAGTCATTTTCCCTTTCTTTTATTTCGTGAATGAAATACCCAGGTGGCATCCACATATCCACAACGAGATTTTTCCAACTTTTATTCATCATGAAAAAGAGGGAGAACCCCGATCTCCGGCGACTCCTTTGTGTGTTCCTACACATCACTGGTAGCAAGGAGGAATGATGGCAAAAACAATAAGGACTAAATGTATACATTTCAAAAAGTATCTTACCCTATCAAGTCATTATCCCTTGTCTAGCATGAAAATGATAACTATCAAAACTTTTATATGTTTGTCCCCGTGATTTCAATTTCTTATGCAGTTAGTCCATATGAGTTCATTTTGTAACAAAAATGATTTGAAATCACAAATTTATCCATGATTAGTTTTTTTTATTAGTTTTAAATTTTAAATTTTTAATTTAAATAAATAAAAACCCAAATCTATAAACCCACAATTTCATCTTGTTAGCGTAATATTATTATGTGTATGTATTATTACTATATAGTGGACTATATACTAATAATACACACATACGCCAAATCCAATGTTTTTGACAAATTTGTGTATTTTCGGAATTTTGTCAATAACTAATTTAAAACTGATATCAAGTCCTTTCAATGCGATAATGGAGGTGAATATAACAACCAAAACTTTTATCATTTTTTTTCCTCAAAACGGTGTCCAGTTTCATTTTTTGTGTCCTTACACCTCTCAACAAAACAGAAAATCTGAATGCATGCTTCACACTTTAAATAATGCAATTCACACTCTTTTATTTCATGCTCGGCTTCTTCCTACTTATTGGACCGAAACACTTCATATGAAGACTCACCTTCTAAACATTCTACCATCGACCACCCTCAATAATGACATTCCCTTTTATAAACTATACAATAAACACTCATCTTAATTATGACCATCTCTATGTGTTTGATTGTCTTTGTTTCCATCATATTGATGCTTCTCACAAACTCACTTATTGGACCGAAACCAATGTTTTAAAAACCGGTTTTTTAGTTTAACCGGTGTGGTGACCGGTTCCCGGTTTAACCGGTTCGACCGTTGGGTTAACCGGTTTCTATAATTTTCATCATTTTTACTATTTTCCTACACATACATACATCTATAAATCATGAAATTGACGTTTACAAGTTCGAACATTAAAAATACACATAAAAATATGTTGTCCAAATGTATTAAAATAACACATAACTATAAGTTTTACATCAATCTATATACATAAAAAAGAAAATAAAATATAGTTTTAGATGAATACAAACACATAAAAAAAACTTTATAACATTTACCATATGTTTTTATTTAGAAAAAATTAAATAGATTTGAAAAAAATTACTAAACTTTATTATGCAAATAATTCTTTTCCATGTGTTTTATTCGGCTTAACCGGTTCAACCGGTTTATTTTGACCGGTTCAACCGGGTTTTTCTTAAAACTGGCCGGTTCAATCCTGTTTAGAAATCGACGTAAAACCGGTGATAGTTGAACCGTTCCCTCTCCCGGTTTCCGGTCCAACCGGTTCGACCGGCCGGTTCAAACCGGTTTTTAAAACATTGACCGAAACTCTTCATATGACGACTCACCTTCTAAACATTCTACCATCGACCACCCTCAATAATGACATTCCCTTTTATAAACTATACAATAAACACTCATCTTATGACCATCTCTATGTGTTTGATTGTCTTTGTTTCCATCATATTGCTGCTTCTCACAAACTCTTTCCAAGATCAACTTCATGCATCTTTCTTGGTTACCCAATAAACCACAAATGAATCTGTTGTCTCAACCTTGACACAAATAAAATCATCATATATATCTTGTCATGTGGTATTTGATGAAACTGTTTTTCCATTTTGGTCAATGACATCGAATAAAGCACCTTCCTACATATTTCTTGATGATTCTGACTCTTCGCATCCTATCACCTCAACACTGACGCCAACACATCTTAGTTCAACCATGGCCGATCCTATGTCGCCACATATGAACCATACAACCCAAAGCCCATGTAACATCTCAATTTTCAGTTATTTTACATTTTGACCCTTGGTATGATAATTGGTTGCAAATTTGGTCCCAAATGGCATTTTAATGAAAGGTGGAGCCACTATGTGTACGTTAGGCGTAAATGGTCAGGGGTTAAACCCTAAATTTTAGGGTTTATGTAACATCCCCCTCTGGCACGTATCACAATATTGTCCATTTTGGGCCACTCGGCACGAGGACTTCCCAGGGGGTCACCCATCCCGGTACTACTCCCGCCCGAGCACGCTTAACTGCAGAGTTCTTATGGGATCTGCTGCCCTCACGGCTTTAAAACGCGTTGTGACAAGGAATGTATCCACACCTCTCTTATAAGAAAGTGATTCGTTCTCCTTCCAAGCCGATGTAGGATCAGGTGCAAACCCCCCCCCCCCCCATTATAGGGTTCGACGTCCCTGTCGAACACATCGACTCGTGCCCCAGCTCTGATACCATTTGTAACATCCCCCTCTGGCACGTATCACAATATTGTCCCTGATCCTACATCGGCTTGGAAGGAGAACGAAACACTTTCTTATAAAGGGGTGTGGATACATTCCTTGTCACAACGCGTTTTAAAGCCGAGAGGGCAGCAGATCCCATAAAAACTATGTAGTTAAGTGTGCCCGGGCGAGAGTAATTCAGGGATGGGTGACCTCCTAGGAAGTTTTCGCGCTGGGAGCCCAAAGCGGACAATATTGTGATACGTGCCAGAGAGGGATGTTACAAATGGTATCAGAGCTGGGGCACGGGTCGATGTGTTCGACCGGGACGTCGAACCCTATAATGGGGGGGGGGGGGGGTGAAGGTGGGTAGCACCTGATCCCACATCGGCTTGGAAGGAGAACGAAACATTTCCTTATAAGGGGTGTGGATACCTTCCTTGTCACAACGCGTTTCAAAGCCGTGAGGGCAGCAGATCTCATAAGAACTCTGCAGTTAAGCGTGCTCGGGCGGGAGTAGTACCGGGATGGGTGACCCCCTGGGAAGTCCTCGTGCCGAGTGGCCCAAAGCGGACAATATTGTGATACGTGCCAGAGGGAGATGTTACAGAATGCGGTTGTCTTTAGGTTGTGGTTGTGGTGGCTAAAGGTGAGGCTAAGTGGGGCTAAAGGTGGTGGTGTCCTTTTCCATCAGATTATCTAAATTCATATTTTTAGATTGTAAGAGAAGTGTAAGGGATATGAGTGTAGGTATGGGTATTGTTATTATGGGACCCTTTATTTTAATATTTAAATAAATTATAGTTAAAAAATCTAAAATAATTTGAAGATGGTAAAAGTCTTTAAAAAAAATCCGCTGACACGAACCGTATAGTAAAAGAAGATAAGGACTAACCATACAAATTTATTCAAACCACAAGGATCAATCCTATAGTTTTGTCTACAATGTTATTCGATCTATAAAAGTTAAATGGAAAATATTTTTATGAACAAAATTATTTATGGTTTATTCTATATGCATTTCTAATTGTTTTATGTATCATCTTTGTAAATGGATGCATGTGACTTTATTTTTTTATGTGAATAATATTTATATATAATAACATCCTTATTTATTCGTTAATTATTTTATATTAAAAAGTTTTTTTTTTCATTGTTCAATTCAAACTTTATTGAACTTATATCTATTGAAACGAATGTTCCATTTTATTATAGTTGAATTAATTTTATTAAATGACTACAAATTCTATTTTATTTAATCATTTGATTAAATGACAACTAGAAATTCTATTTTATTTAATATTTGATTAAACTATAAATCTCAGTATGGATCACTGGATTAAATATAGAACATTAAAATTTTAAAGGATCGTTTGTTTATAAGATTAAGTTTTGGTTTTTTCTTAAGTTGAAGGATTTACTTGGTTGTTAAGATTCCGATCTTGATCTTAAGATCTTACGATATTAAGATTCTATTAGCCAAAAACGATCTTGATCTCACTAAGATCTATATGAAGCAAGATCTATAGTGAGATTTTAGGATCCCGACTAGGTTCCTAAGATCTTAATACGATCTGATCTCACCTCTCTAGTTTTATTATATAGTCGAACATGAAAAATTTGTATATTCAACTTGAAATCGAGCATCATAAGTTATAAGAACTCTCATAGAGCATCATCACTGCATCACATATTATGCATGTTCCACTCATCATATTCTCTTTATTATCTTAAGACTTTAGTTATAGATCATAATGATCTTGTTTCTTTTTGTAATTGATATGTTTTATTCATAATTTTTATGGTTTGCAACAACAAAAATTATGGTTCATGTTTAAAAAATTAAAATTGGCTCCATATCAACGTTTTAATCGACATCGAGTAATAATGTATATTGTACATTCAAGACCTTACGAGAATATTTGAATATGAGTTCATTTTGATAGGATCTTCCGATCCCGATTTGACTTTATGATCACGATCTTACAACACATAAAACGATCTTAGGTAAGATCCCGATATTGATAGCCTTTTCTAATAAACAAGACTTAAGTTACTTATGTATTTTTTTAACAGCAAATATAATCTACTCTTATGCTACTACTTAATTTCACATATATAAATGACGAGACTTGAACCTTCAACCTCAATAAGAGAGGACAACATCTGATACCGTTAGGCTAC